CTATTTTTACTCCACCTTTCTCCTTAAAAAGGACCCAAGGGTACTTATTTATTAAAAGCTGAAAATAGTAAGTTATTCAAATGTTCAAGAAAAGTTAATAAAATTATATAAAATTATTAGATAAAAGCATTATGAAAAACAGATTTAGAAGCAACAACATATTGTATTTTCTCCTAGATAGTAATCACTAAGAAAAGCCTGTGTGAAGAGAAAACCTTTCTCCTTAAAAAGGACCCAAGGGTACTTATTTATTAAAAGCTGAAAATAGTAAGTTATTCAAATGTTCAAGAAAAGTTAATAAAATTATATAAAATTATTAGATAAAAGCATTATGAAAAACAGATTTAGAAGCAACAACATATTGTATTTTCTCCTAGATAGTAATCACTAAGAAAAGCCTGTGTGAAGAGAAAGGTCTTTGTCTGCTTGCAGAAAAACAGCAAAGATGGGGCCAGCCTGGCCTCCTGTGGGAGGGGAGTTCAAGAGTTTGGAAGCAGACAGGGAAAGCCCTCTTCCATGTCCCCACCAAACACACCTATGAGGGTGGTGGGCAAAGTTTTCTTCCTGTGTGCATGTGACTTCACCTCCCTCCTTTCCTTTGAAAGGAAAAGTCACCGATGGTGCAAGAAAGATTGCTGTGGATAACGAGAAACATAATTCAGCAAGGTACTTCTTTCGAAATATTTCCCTGATGTCAGCTACAAGTAAGAGTCATTCTGCTAGGCATGGTCACTTTGCGCTCCCCAAACTATAAAGCAAGAGGAGTTGTAAATATAAGGAAAACCATTAACGGAGATGCCATTAAACTTGCTAAGATTATCACAAAGAACACAATATCAATTGCCTTTGCTTTATAAAAGCAGAACTTGAGAAAGATACACTTTTGGACTATAACTTCCAGAATCTCTCAGCCAGTAGTGGCTGTGCTGACAGAAAAGTTCTGGGGATTTGATTTATTATTTATTTAAAATACTTTATTCTATCTTTCTCCTTAAAAGATTCCATTATGAAAATGTAACTTTCGCAATCTCTGAAGTAAAAGACATCAGGCAAATTCTTGGAAGTTATTATACATAGCAATAAATGTATTTGAGGTGCAAAAATAGGTAGGTTTATAAATAAGATAATTATATATATATTGTATATATATATATATACACACACAATATATATATATATATATATATATTGTATATATTGTATACACACACACACACATATATATATCGTCGTCGTTTAGTTATTTAGCCGTGTCCAACTCTTCGTGACCCCATTGTAAATAAGATAAAAAACAAGATAATCTTGTTCTAATATAAATTAAGCCTTTGATTCCATTAGAGGAAATGTGACAAAAGTGAAATATTAAATATTAAAGATGATAAAAGAAACTTTTAAAGAATTTTTTTTTTACATCTAAGTTTTATTAGTTTTTTGAAAGTCATCAGATATCAAGGGTCAAAACTATGTATTAAGAAATCACTCAACCTGTTCTATATTATGTAATGCTGGTAAAGTAGGAAAAGAAACATGTTGTGCAGGGATACACTTTCAGTGCCATGACTCAGAGGTCTAGCTATCTGATTGCAGAGCCAGGAGTTGTGAGTTTGGTTCCTCGTTGTGCCCCCTTGACAGGGGCTGGATTCAAGGATTCACAGAGTCCCCTTCCAGCTCTGCAGTTCTAAGATTATTATATTATTTTTTTGCAGGCAGGATAAAGGAAGTTATCGTTTTACTTTGCAAGACCTGAGATGGGGTGCGTATTAATGACAGCAACTTTTGGAGATCACCAATTCATAGAGTCATCATGACTCAGAAACACCTTAATGAGACATAGCAACCACAGTTCTGGCCTTACATTGTTTCTGGATTGTGGTTTGAAGCTTTGCCTAGCACAACCAAAGGCCAATGGGCATTTCATCTGGACTCAGTAAGCAGATGTAACTATTTATGCCATCACACCAGCTGTTTAGTGTAGCATCCTCATCCCTCATAATTCACTGTTATTGCCTGTTTCAAAAGCTCACACAAAAAAGGGAACAGCCTAGGCCTGCCCTAATTTATTCCTGAATTTGTCACTCTCCCAAACATAGAGAATGATTAGTCTGAAGAGTACATTATCTGTGAGGGCTCTCCACATGAGTAGAAAACTATGGAAGTACCCCTGCATAGCAGAGGCTCTTTCTCCATACAAGGAGAGTAAGAATGACATCTTAGGAGAAAAGAGATAGCACACTCCCCTGTTCAGATTAAACTAAGTGGGTCCCGCCAATAGCCATGGTGAGGCAACCCCCTCAGATAGCAGTAAATTGTTATTTAATTTGCTGTCATTCAATGTATCCTGCTGCAGCAAGTTTTCCTTCATTGTTGAATCATTTGCATCTTGCTGAAGAGGCTTTAATTCTACCATATTGGTGATTTTGTTAGGTTTGATGAGAGCTACTTGTGGGATTTCTGTCTCATATGCCAAAATTGGGTCCTATGGGGGAGTGTCATTTACTGTTCCACCTGTGGCAGCAAAATTGCTTGCCCCTCTCCCAATGAACACTATTCTGAACACCTGAAAAGTGTTGGAGTTTTGTTTGCCGCCTCACATGCTATCTGTGTTTTTGTGACAGGGAGGGACTTTTCTGGGCTGAAGTGGTTGTCTAATTATCCAGCACTAACCAATCGTTCCTGCCAGCTTTGGATTTCAAGGAAAGCCCCATCTCTTTCCCTCTCTTTCCTGGCTTGGAGACAGTTGTTTGTTTACTGTTGATCTGTTCAGCTAGTTGCTAAGTATGTGTGTAATAAAGTAGTATACATGCCTGGAATTTCAAGGAAGAAATGTTTTTTTATCCTTTCTCCTAAAACTTCTGAGAGTGGCTTATTGAGACTTTAAGTGCCAGTTAACGAGAAGGGGGTGGACTCTCAGGAACTTGTAGCTATTCTCCTCTGTAGATCTCTGTACTTCTACTTGTTGCATAGCAACAAGAATTTTACCAGAAATTCAAAACTGAAACAAAAAGAGCTATTATCATTATGCATGTGTAATTCCTCATGTATTTTTCCAATGACTTTTTTTTA